TTATTTTTTCTGCTTAATGAAAACGTGAATTCTCCTTAAAAAACATTTGATCTGTTGGTAAACTGTTCCTTTAAAAAGATGTAAAGATGCTTTACAATAAGCAACTCTCTAGGCCTGTTTAACATGATGCCAGTTATTATAGTTTCTACAGAAAGTTGACAGCTGAGACACATTTGCCAGATGTATTTACTATTTTTGCTTCCTACATTGCAGAATCGGCTGTGAGATTTGACGGTAAGGGTTATCTAAAATACCTCTATCACATGGAGGAGGCCAAAGAGAACTTCCATCTGTCTCTTCGACTGAAGACGTCAGCAGCAGATGGCACAGTGATGGCCACCAATGCCTCAGACTGGGGAACATTAGAGGTATCAAATTTTCAATCTCTTTTTTTTATGATTCATAATTTTTATCTTCTTCATCTGGCTAAACAATACATTGTCTCGTCCAGAAACGTCAGATATTTACTTCACCTTGACTCATAAGCACACATTCTTTGTTGCATTATATTGCAGATGTGCAATATATTTTTAAATACATGTTTTTACATACTTGTTTACACCAGGTGTTAAAGGAATAGTTCACCCACAAGCATACTTTTTTAAATGTTGTGTTGCCGTTGACGTTCATAAAAAATAAATGAATTGGAAATTCAATGGATCCCAGTAACCAACATTAAAAAAGCCACATGAGAGATAAGAAATGAGTCATTTTCATTTTTGAGTGAACTATCCCTTTAAGTAACTACAAATTAAGAATGGTGAAAATGTACAAAAGAGGCGGCTAAACACACAAAATGTAAACAGGAATGAGTTCTTCATCTACTTGTGATCTGAAAAAACAAAATGCATCTTAACTTTTTTCTTTTGTCAGCCAAAAAAGCGTACTTTGAGTGAACTGGTGTGTGTTTAATTGATGTAAAATGCTAATAAAACCATTCAGATCACGATAGAACGATCACAGGAAGCTTCATGAAAAGTATGACGTCCAGATGTTTGATGCTTGTTTATTCTCATGAACGGCTAACTGCGCATTAGACGCGTTAATATTCAAGAGCACATTCTGGAAGGGAATGAAAGCACTTGCGATGTGGATTTCATCCCACCCTTTGAGCACATCAGTGATAAATCACCCTGGATTTCTGAAATGAGTGTTATGATGAATTCATGGCTGACTGCTCTCCTCCTTTGACTCCGAGGTGCAGCGAGATCTCCTTGAGTGTTTGTTTATTTAAACAGCCTAATACAGCCAAAGCTTGAGCTCCAGGACGTCTTTAATGTGTTACACAAAATAAAGCTGAAAAAAAGAATGCAGCAAGCATGATTGAAAGACCGACCTCTGCTTCAAAATCATATGACATCGCTCCCGGAGGATGCTTCATTTATGCACCATAATTGAATATTCAATTTAAGTGGCTCGCAACATCAAAAGTGCACCCTCCTTTTTCAAAGCTTTACCTCTGGGTTTTGAAACTTGGCAAGCCGGACCATTTCATTGTTGCAGATGGGCTTCAAAAGGAATTGTTAAACATGGTCATTCAAGAAATCTTTAGGGCATAATTCTTCACACGCTCTGTAGCTCTACATGCCTTAATTTATGTGTCTCTCTGGAGAATTAACATTCTGGTGCACCTCAGCAAACTCCTATCAGTTCACGTCTTATCAGGCTTTAATTTAAGGCCAGCGACAGCTCATGCCTTGGAAACTTGTAGAATTTGAATCAACTGTCTTAACTCAGAAGTTTTTTTCAGCTTTCGTACCTTTTAAGTAATTACTTTCAAATGGAAATTGAGCCTATTTGAGTAAAGCCACCTCTGACAAGAGAAAGGGAAGAAAAGGTGACTTGTCAGTTAAGCAGCTGTAGCATTTATGAACACTGACAGCTGCGATCTAACATTATTAAGAGAAACAAGATCTGTGGCAGGATAGATGCGGTGGAACTGATACCCTTTAATGCTGTGAGGAGTCCAAGCATGGGGGCATTGATCGCAATAATTAGGTTTTTCTTCGAACTGGACTCACATCAGGAGGTCTGTTGCGAAACCCACCTAGACAACATTGTAAAGCTTCACAGACACGTATCTGATGCCAAGACTTGCAAACAGTTGGCAGCAAAATCATACTTTTAACATCTATAATTTTGGCCAAATTCTAAGGCAGCATAAGCTGTGTGTTTAATTACACTGTTATGAATTTAAAGCAGGATGGCAGATTTATTAATTAATACTTTCTTTGCTTGCTTTCTTACAATTAATTTCTAAAAAAATTCACAGTACTGGGTTGTGGCTGGAAGGGCATTCACTGCTTAAAACATGCTGGAATAGTTGAAGGTTCATTCCTTGTGACAACCTCTGATAAATCAGAGACTAAGCCAAAGGATAATAAATGAATGAATAAAATCTGAAAAAAATGTATATATATATATATTATTCTATATTCTATTCATCAGACAGTCTCAAAAAGTATTATGCTTTCTATAATGATGTTAACTGATTTCAGCATTAATTAAATAAAATCTTGAGTTTCTTATATAAAAGGATTTCTAAAGGATAATGTGACTCTGAATAAAATAATGACAGCTGAAAATTTCACACACACATGCACCATTTTAAAATGATTCCAAATACAAAGCTACTAGGTAAAATAGTAAATTTGTACTTTATTTTTTATCAAATAAATGTAGTATTTGAGATGACAAGAGATTGTACTGCATACTGTATAAAGAATATGTTGTTTTCTAATGGTTTGTAAAGACATTAATACTTTTATTCAACAAGAGTTTACTAAATAGACTAATTGGCATTAAAACATAATGTGTCATAAATCTGTCATAAACATAATTGTCAGGAAGCCAATATTCTGTAATTGTGTCATACATTTTGCAACTATGTCATTAACATTTAATGTGTCTTCAGCTACAGTTGAAGTCAGGCACAATCATAACTCCGCTACATTGTTTGTCTCACTTATTACATGAATGTTTCCCAAGCAAATGCATTTATGACATCTAATATAGATTTGAGTTTAGATTATTTGTTATTTGACCATAGTAACACCACAAGTGACCAGCAGTCAGGATCAGAATGATTAAAGTCCACATGAACCAGAAGTTGCTCTTTTTTTTTTATTATTTCAGTATGTTGATGTACTGCCAACTGAAATTATATATTGAATAGGGGCGCGCATTTTTTTTTGGACACAATTCCCTCATCGTAAACTAATTGTAAGAGGGTCTTGGTTAAGAATGTTCAAAGCTTTCAAACTGACATCACTAGAGAAGGACCACCACTCTAAATACTGAAGCAAATAGTCAGACTTTTTTTTAGTGAATTATCTTGTATAAAGTATTTGTTCACTTAAAGAATGGCAAAGTGTACAAGCAAGAGAAACATTGTAGATTTTATTTTCACTCTGTAATTTGATGGGACGCTGTGAATGGTCAGGCAAGCAATGGTCAACACAGGAACAAACAGATGTATATGGGCAATCCAGATTCATGGTCAATAAACAGGCGGATGGTCAAAAGGCAGGCAGCAGACAGGAATAAACAATAAAAACAAACCAAGGATCAAACACGGCAAAGACATCATAATGTTCACAGTACAGTTTTACAAGACTCAGCACTGAAGTGTGTGTGTGTGAGCTGTTTATAAAGTCTATTTAATCAGTTCATAAGCAGCCTGCCACGTGTGTGTGTAATCAACAGAGGAACATGTGCGTGTGAGCGGTGCATGACTGGATATGTAGTTCTGATGGCAGATTTGTATTTTTTCAGCGATCTAGACAGGCTGGATCGTTGGTGACCATGAAGGACACAAATCTTTAAAAAATAAAGTCTTTAAAAACATTTTCTCATTGAGAACCAGGTCACATCATTGCTTGCCTAATATAAAATGTTTAGTTATGATTATTTAAGATCATGTGCTATATGTGTGCTATACTGTATGTTTTTTTTAATGTTGACCCTGGTGGATTAGTAACCTTCTTACCTATCAAAGTCAAGCATTGCCCTCAAGGAAACAAACCTTAGATTGAACATTCACCCTCGACGAGTCCTCCAGAGAGAAGTTCTTCTTTTTTTTGTGCTCATCTCACCAGCACCACCAGTGCTGCACACTCAGCTCAGCACAGTGAAATCAAACAGCAGCTCCGTCCAATGAAAGCAAATGAGCAAAACCCATGGGCTGACTGCTATCAGATCAGAGCAAACGGCGCTGTGCTCGCCTTTCACATCGCAAAACTCTCTGAAGATCCTGCCGCAGCAATTAAGAGGGGATGATGCTTAATAATGCATACTCTTAGCATCACTGTAATCCTTTCAAATGTGAAGTGCGCGCACACACACACATGCAGAGACAAGCGATGTTTTTTTAATGCACAGAACAGGAAACTAATACATGCATATGTGAGTGATCCATTATTTGTGGGTGGATCGCTGAGGAGGCATAAGCTCAGCATGCATTCAAATGCTCCTGATTGGGCTGCATCACAAAGTTCCCGCTGCAATTGAAACAGAAACTAAGTGTAATCTCCTGCGAGCAAACTTCAGCATTCAAAGGGCTTCTTATCTTCCGAAGAGAGCACACGCTTCCAACTGTGCGAAAAACACAACCTATGTAACCTGCCTCCGCGAGAGTCTGGCTCAGGCTCTTCAGCAGCTCGGGTTTAGTAGCTTCATTCAATCCGCAGACATCAGGCTAAAGCTAATATGTGTGAAGTGGGTAGCTTTTTGAAGTAAAAACATTTTCTTATGTACCAGACTGGAAGGTTGATGACGGTTTTTTTTTTTTGCTTTGATCTGTTCAAACATCATTCAAAATGCAGGTCATACATAAGTTGACTTGAATTCATGTCTTCTGTGATCAACATGTTTTATTCTTCTGAATGTTGAAGTTTGAACTTTAGAAGAAAATGAAACACTCACTGTACTAACAGACTTTATTTCTTTGGTCTAATGAAGGGCCTGGAGTTGACTGAAGTGTCGCTTTTTTTGAGATATAAAGTCAAATCTGTGTTAGTAGTTTAAATTTTAGCCAATATATATATATATATATATATATATATATATATATATATATATATATATATATATATATATATATATATATATATATATATATATATATATATATATATATTTATATTAGGGATGGGAAGATTAACCGATATGTATCGATACGCGGTCATGCGCGTGCACGATGCGAGTGCATCGGTTGAGCAGCAGAGGATGAATGAAATTTTGGAAGCAAATCGAGATGCATCGGTTTTTGCGAGATGCATCGATTTTTCCGAGATACAGCTTATATTTTTAATATAGAATGTATTTTTTATTTATTAACAAGTGTTGTCAACCTGTTTTGGCGCATAATTTAATCGACCTACATAAAGTAAGCCTTAGCAACGGATTTGCGGATGTGCACACTCACACTACAACTCAGTGTATCAGGTGTGCGGATGAAGCTAGTGGAGCGCCCTCAGAAAGCGCGAAAAGCAAAACAAACATTTTATTCCCCACTGAGTTTTAAATCTAAAGTATGGCAAGCAACATTATGGATGTAAGGATGGACGACATGACAGGACAGATGCAATTTGCAAAATGTGCCGCGCATCTGTAAAATACGCGGGCAGTATGACTAATCTGATATCTCACTTGAAGCGGCGCCACGGTGTTGTTGTGAAAGCATCTTCCAGTGTTTCTGCATCCCCGGCTTTCGAACTGCTTCAACCAGCTCCAAAAGTGGTGAGAAAAGCATTGCAAGTTTTTTTTTCCATGCGCAACAGTTCTGCTCGCTCTACGCCAATAACGAATGCTATTGCATTGTTCATCTGCAAAGATATTAAGCCTAGTGTCACGGAGAACGAAGGTTTTAAACACCTCCTCCTGTTAATTTTTATTTAATAATAATAATAATAATAATAATATTAATAATAATAATGATAAAAATAATTGGGTGTCACGGTGGCACAGTGGGTAGTTTGACCACCTCACAGCAAGAAGATTGCTGGTTTGTTATATTTTTATTAGCCTGTTGTTTACAGTGACAGTGATGTTTGAAAGCAGCATAACACTGCTAACGTTAGTTCACAACCTTAAGTTTTGAATAATCAGTGGCAAAATATCTTTGTAAAACTTGTTTTCATAGTTGAAAAGTTAAATCACAATTCTTGTTGTGCAATGCTAAATTTATTTATGTTGAAAGAGTGCAAATATATACATATTTTTTTAATATATATTGCACTTATACATTCTGTTTATCTTGAAAATACTTAAATAATATGTGCTATATTATCTAAATAGGCCCTCTACTGTAAACTGACACTCTGGCTCTGAGAGAAGAGCCAGTTTGTAAAAAAAAAAGTCTTGGTTTTGCTTGGTTAATAAATAATCAAACTCATTCAATGGCACAGCATCCTCTTTCACATCATCTCATCTTGATCTAATTAGTTAGTGCTGAAATATCGCATCGTATCGTGATATGGGTGTGAATCGTATCGTGTTGCATCGCAATATGTCACAAATGTATCGCTAATATATCGGATCGTATTCTTTGTATCGAGATGCGTATCGGATCGGCATTATAGCTTAGATGCCCAACCCTAATATATATATATATATATATATATATATATTTTAATATATATCTGAAGTTGTTTAAGAATTGAAATTTTGTTGTCTATTAAATTTAAACACTTATAAGAAATATAATGATGACACATTATTTAAAGGACACCTATGATGAAAAAAAGACAGAACTGTGTGTAGGTATGGGGTGTCCACAGTCACATTGGGGTGATAGAAACACAATAAGTCTTTTTTGATTTCCAGATGTTAAAATAGGATCCAAATCCCTCCCATTTTGAGGCCCACCACAACATGATGTAGGAGTGTGGTTTCCCTGCCCTCCAAATTGATTGACAGCCGCATATAAACATGCATATAACCATATCAACAAGACAGGACGTACGCAAAGCAAGTGGGATTAAAAGATCTGCTCAGTTCTCTGTGATCATCAATTATCATCAGATGTGATCAAGAATGAGTTTTACAAGTTTAAAACATTTTTAAAATAGGGCATGTTTGTATTGAATTACAGCGATTTTACCTTCTTTACTTTATCACCACAGCCGCATGTCAGTACAATTCTAAAAGAAGACGTTTCAATCCTGGTTTTCGAACATTACATCAGGTTTATTTTGTACATTAACATAACGGATATCCATACAGCAGTGGATATTGAAGTGTATCCTGTCACATTTGCCGTTCAAAAACAGTGCAAAGTTAAACATGAATTCTGTGCGTCTTTGTCTGTGTGTGATGAGATTGTGTGTGATTCATCGTAGCAAATCCACAACAAATACATCAAATAATCATTGGGAAAGTTCTTACTGCAGTATTTCTCACAAATGTTACGTGACATCTGCTTCCTTCGTTTCTGTCACTGTGCTGTTTATCTGATGCAGCCGAGGCGGAGATTAACGCTCACTCTGACAGGCACGTGGGAACAGTGGGTGGGGAGAACTAGCATTAATGGCACAGGCAACAAAAACAGCTAAGATGCTTAGAGCTGAAAATTACAAACTGCTTAAAGGTATAATAAATAATTTGATGGGTGTTTTGAGCTAAAACTTTACAGACACATTCTGGAGACAGGAAAAAAGGGGGAAAAAAGGTAAAAAATGGTGTCCTTTATTAGAAATAAATAAGCCCGGAAGCAATTTTGATGAGATTTTATTCATTAAAATACAAAAAATTCTCTACAATTGGTCAAGCTGCTTTTTATTGTGATGCATTATATGTCTGCAAACAATATTTTTTCTTAGAGTTTTTGTCTTGTTTTTTTTTCTAATCAAGAAACATTTTATAGACAAGTAAAAATATGGTTGTCAGAGAAATAGAAAAGTCGTCAAAATAAAATGAGTTTTTCAATAAGACTAGCCAAATTATCTGCCATTGGGGTAAGTAAAATAACGTTTTCTGTTTGAAAAAACTGTTATTTTACTTACCTCATTTGCAGATAATTTAGCTTGCTTTAAGGAAAAACTCACTTGATATATTTCTGATAACAAAACAAAGAAAATGCTTTTTCCTAAAACGTTATACGTTTTCTACTAATACATAAACTAAACATTACATTATTATGCACTAATGATGAATTACAGAGTACGCAAATCATGAACTAACCTAACTACAACATGAGTGACATGAGTTCATGTGTGAATAACGGCTACCTTAATTACTTGTTAGTACTTGGTTGTTTGTTAATTAATGCATTAATTACCACATTAGTTTATGCTTAAATAAACCATCATGAACTCATGAGCTGTTAATGTACAATTATATCGTGACTTTACTTGGAGGGGCGCATCATCATTAACACGTTCTTAATTACTCAGGAACCCCCGTATATACGTACATCTAGTGTGTTTACACTGAACAACAGAAAAGTGTTTTGTCAACATCAACAGTTTCAACACAGGAGTTCATAAGTGGTTAAGGATGAGTTCTTGGTGATATACCCCTCCAAGTAAAGTCATGACAAAATTATACATCAACAGCTCATGACTTTTTGTTGGTTACATTTTGCTTAAACTTAAATGTTAATTTATTCATTAATTAACAATCATGTACTAACAATTAATTAGGGTAACTGTTATTCACACATGAGCTTATGTGACTCATGTTGAAGTTAGTTCTTAATTAGTGCATGCATTAACTCATCATTTGTCCATAATAAAGTAATGTTTAGTTTACATAGTAATACATCATTATTCTTGAACTGTTATTGTAAAGTCTTACCGATGTTAAATTTGAAAGATTTTCCCGATTTTCTTCATTTGTCATTGACTCTTTTGTCATTGCTCCTCTAGCTGGTGGACAAGGAGCTGTGGCTCAGATATAGATGTGGCAACATGCTCTCTGCCGGGCTGCAGGTGGCCAACTACCCCGTGGCTGATGGCCGCTGGCATCATGTCTCTCTGGATGTCAATGACACAACCCTTAGACTCACCATTGATTCCAGTCACACCAATTCAGTGGTCCTGCCACAGCCCTGCAGACTCAGTCACCCCGGCGGGGCCTTGGTGCTGGCCAGCTCTAATCCCAACACAGATGCAGAGCGCCTGGGCTTCACGGGCTGTTTGGAGAGCGTACACTTCAATGGAGAGGCGCTGAGACGACAGGAGGGGATGACAGGAGCTGGAGCGCAGGCTGGCAAACTCTTCGGGATCTACCAGTGCTGCTCTGATGTGGAGATCTGTGCCAGTAATCCTTGTGAAAATGGAGGCATTTGTGCTGAGAATTCCACTGGAGGTGAGAAAGCACTGTTACTCTTAAGGGGTAATATTTACACATATTATTGATGCATTCATATATTTTTGTTCACATTTTGGGCACATGATAAACAATGCTTGATGGAAACACCAAGATGCACATAAAAACCCAAGATGTCCTTAAAGAATGTATGCACTCAATTGACAGGCGATTAAACTATAATGAAAATATAGTGCCATGCAACAAAACAAAATTTTAGGTCAGAAGTACACCATAACAAATGTTTAGCCCTCCTATAAAATTTTTATTATTTTCCTAAATATTTTTCAAGCTCTGGTTAGAGAGATTTTTTTAACAAATTTTTTTAAACATGATAATTTAATACGTTTCTACTAAATCCTGGTTGCCTTAAATTTTTAAGCTGAATCAAATTACCCTAATGAGTCCATTAAACTTATATCATGTTAAATTGACTTAAAACAGCTCGCATAACTTATAAAATTAAGTTAGAACATGATTAACAGTTTAATAAGTTGCAATGAACTAAAAACATATGTTGTCATGACTAATTGATCATGTTTTTTACAGTGTAATAACTTATTAATTATGTCTCAGCCATATTCTGTTATTTGTTTTGTAAGATACTAGCATAACTAGTACAGTATATCAGCTTAAAGTAGGACTTTAAAAACATAACTAGGTAAATTAGGTTAACTAGACAAGTTAATTTACATTTGACCACCGTGGTTTCTTATCTAACCAATCGAAAATAATAATTTCTTACAATGGCTAATAATTCACTCATTTGTTTTCCTTCGTCGTAGTCCCTTCATTTTGTCACGGGACACCACAGTGGAAGGAACTGCCAATTCATCACTATACGTTTTACGCAGCAGATGCCCTTCCAGCCACAATCCAGTACTGGAAAACACCCATTCACACACATACACTATGGCCAATTTAGCTTTTTAAATTCACCTGTACTGCATGTCTTTGGATTGTGGGGGAAAACGGAGCACGCAGAGGATACATGGGAGAACATGCCAACTCTACAGAGAAACACCAACTGTCCCAGCTGGGACTCGCACCAGCAACCTTCTTGCTGTGAGGCGACAGTGCTAGCCACTGAACCACGTGCAGCCCTATGGCTAATAATATTGACCCTAAAAATTATTTTAAAAATCTTATTTCAGGCAAATATCAGATATTCACTCCAACACAAGATAACATGACGGCATTTGTACTTAATATGTTGTAAAAACAAAACAACCACAGCATTTTTCCATGACTACAGTGACTGTAGTTCTCAGGAAGTGACAATTTTGTTTTCTTATACACATGGAATAGAAGTGTTGGATTATTTGAAAGTTTTTAATTTAATTAAATATGCAACACTGAATGGAATCAAATAGCTATTAATTTCAATTACAAATTTCCATCTTGTATTACATTTTTTAGCTGATTTTGATGTCATTTTTTTCATGTTTTTTATTTAAAGAAAATTATTCATTTTATCAAAACAACATTTATTAATGTAAAAAAATATTAAATGTAAAAATAATAATTATTAAATGTAAAAATATTTATTATAATTTTAAAAACTGCTTTGTTATTGTATTGAGTTTCAAATGAAATTATTACTCCAGTCATTATTGCTTTTATTACTATTACATTAATTAAAATAATATAAATAATAGGGATATTAATAATTATGAATATTAAAGTGATTTCTGAAGGGGGTGACGCAGTGACGCAGTAAGTAGTGCTGTCGCATCACAGCAAGAATGTCGCTTGGTCGCTGGTTCGAACCTCGGCTTGGCTCAGTTGGCGTTTATGTGTGGAGTTTGCATGTTCTCCCTGCGTTTGCGTGGGTTTCCTCCGGGTGTTCCGGTTTCCCCCACAGTCCAAAGACATGTAGTACAGGTGAATTGGGTAGACTAAAATTGTCCGTAGTGTATAAGTGTGTGTATGAATGAGTTTGTGGATGTTTTCCATAGATGGGTTGCGGCTGGAAGGGCATCCGCTGCGTAAAAACTTGCTGGATAAGTTGGCGGTTCATTCCGCTGTGGTGACCCCGGATTAATAAAGGGACTAAGCCGACAAGAAAATGAATGAATGAATGATTTCTGAAGGATCTTGAGACTCTGAAGACTGGAGCTATGAAGTTGAAAAATCATCTTTAAAATTCTTGGAATAAATTATTGAATTGAAGTATACACAACTTTTGAACAGTTATTTTATAGTTTACAATTGATACTGTGTTTTTGATTAAATAAATGCAGCCTTGATGAGCAGAATAAGCTTATTCTAAAAATGGTGGAAACCATTGACTTGCATTTTATGAATCAATATATATTACTATAAAACTTCTTGATATTCTACTGAATTAAAAATTTGCTGTTATAAACTGTATATTCAACATCATGCCATAAAAAATGTTTTTATTTATTTATTTTTTTTGATGATTTATCCATTTATCAAATTGTTAAGGTTCAACAAGCAGGATGTTTTAGGAGTATCCAAGCAACAGTCCACTGAAACATAAATGAATCTATAGGAAGATAATAATCTCTCCAGTGTCTCCATTCACGAGATCTCCCAATACCCCAGTGTCTGTCCACACTTTGATCTCAGCACAGAGAAGCTATGGAAGACTCATTTTTATCTTGACCATTACCCTGCCAGAGGTAAAATATGCATTTTTTTTATATCTATTCCCCAGGGTTTCACTGCAGCTGTCCGTCAATGTACTATGGACCTCACTGTCAGTTTATCCACCTGCCGGACGATCCTTGCTCATCCAAGCCATGTGTCGATGGTTTATGTATGCCAAATAATCAAGGGTACATCTGCAACTGCTCCACACAAATAGCTGGAAACAGGTGAGGCTCACACAGCGGGGCTCTTGAAACCACACATGCGTATTATGTCCTTGGTGAAGGCATTGGGAAGTCTGGTTAATTTGCATGAGAATTAATACTTGTTTATTCAGTCTCTTCATCTCTTTTATGAACCCCTGCCCACACTAGTGATATGTAGTATGTGTGACTCGCCTCTGTGTGCCTTTGAGTTAACAATTTAAAACATCATTTATTGTCCTTAGTGGCATATAACGTCACAGCTTGAGCATTAGTCATGGTGTGAGAATTTCAGTTAACAGACGTCCTTCTGTGTGTGTCTTTGTGTGCATTAAAGCATATTATGATACTTGTTACTGACATCAATGTGTATGTAGGACACTTTAATAAGAAAATATTGTTAGAAATGCAATAATTCATACTGGAAACGTTGACTTAAAGAATTAGTTCAGCTTAAAATGAATAATCTGGCATTAGTTGCTATGTTTCCATTCAATGATGCAAATTAAACTTATGCTCAAAACAGGAATATCTCGCAAAACATTTGCGAATAAATCAACATTTTCATCCAATGAGTCAAAGAGAACAAAATCATCACTTCCTGATGGCAATAAATTTCAAAAAGAAAAATGGAATTTGCTGCAGTAGGAGAGGTCATTGTGGGCCTTTTATTTTAATAAAATAATAAGATATATTAATAATAATAAGAAGAAGACGAAGAAGAAGAAGAAGAAGAAGAATATAATAAATCACATGGGCATTAGAAAATAAAGATGAAATTCAATAGACACACATATAACTGGATTTTGGACTGCAAACGGCATTTGTGTGGGACTCATCCTTTCAGAAAGGCTTGAATAAACTCCACCACAAATACATGAAATAAACTTATTTGCTATTTTTTACTAATGAGCTGTATTTCAGCTATATCCATGTCTGTCTTTATCACTGACTGCTGTTTATCTGATGCAATGCAGGAAAAGCAGACAAGCATGTGAAAACGGTAGGCCAGAAGAAGCAGCTTCTTTGCATTTAAAGCTACATGCTGCAAAACAATTACCCTGGACTCACCCAAATGGGCAGATTCTGGAGCCTATAATAAATCTCATGGGTGTTCTGAGCTAAAACTTTACAGACACATTCTGGAGACACCAATGGCTTATCTTGCGTCTTGTAAAAGGGGTAAAATAGGTGCCCTTTAAGCATTTTTATGCATGAAATAGGTGGATGGAAATATAGCTAATTACTCATCCTCATGTTGTCCCAGACCTATAAGAAATGTGTTCTTTAAATAAGACATGAATACATTTTTATTATTATTTTTTTTGTCTATTTCCAATTTTAATCTCAGATAAAAACATTTTTGTTTAGGATAGCTTTTAATGATTTGCTGGTTTAATATCATGTCTATTGACCTTATTCTCCGCAGATGAGCGGGCGCTGCCATTTGAATCTTTTTGGCACAAGACTTCCGGTCTTATTCACTTCCATTCATTTTTATTAAAGAAAACAATGTAGTTTGATGAAAAGACTCAGATGAAAGTTCGTTAAACATTTGCATGCTCTAATAAATGGACAACTGGACAACTGGAATGTGAAAAAATGTTTTCACCAATTATAATAACCGATTGCCATACATGATGGCATGCTCCATTTAAACTGAATGCTAATTCACCCGTTTTATCTGTGTTTGAGATTAGACTAAATCTTTGTGTCTAATTCAGTCAGTTGTTCCTTGTCTTTTCAGGTGTCCGACTTCATGTGCTCCAAATTCATGTCAGGATGGTTTCACCTGTTCAATGGTAGCCAACTCAGTCCACTGTGAGCGCACCACCTACCGCTCCACCTATATTCCTTATGTGGAAATTGCTGAAATCTGCGCTGGTGTTGTTGGACTTGTCCTCCTCGTCATAGCCTTTGTGTGTTTCCGAAAACACTATGTCAGCAAAAAGAAGCACAAATCTGGCTGTGTGCAGGACTCCAATGGTTACTTCCCAACTTTACCCAAGACCATGACGAAAGAAGCAGAGATCAGCTCTCCAATGGACGGCATGCTAATCGGCTCTGTTGGTGATCTGGAAAGCAGTCCTTTCCGTTCACTCAAACTTCGGGAACAGCGCGAGCTCGGCCCTCAGGTGGGCCCTCGCCCTCAGAGGCCTCAGGGTCCTGTTATCTGCAGCGTGGCCCCAAATCTTCCTCCTCCACCCTCCACCAGCTCTGACAATGACTCCATTATGAAAAACAACTGGGAGCACGATTACGAAGGTGAGAATGCTTTTCTTTGTTATTTTTTTTATTCTTGTTCTTCAAGCTTATCACTTAACTCTTTTTTAGACTTTGATTAGGTTTTATGGACATTTGTAGGTGTTTTAGGTGTTTTACAGTCAAGGAAGCTCTAGCGCATGTCCTGTATGAGTTATGGGACTTCATCTGCTTTGAAATACAAATATGATCAGTGTACTGTTGATAAGATTGTATATAAAAAGTGTAGATCAGATCGCATATACAGGAAGGCATTAAAAGACTCTGATCAGTTATGTTTTAACCATATTGAATGTCATCTGGATGGAAAAGTAAGTGAGGATAGATCCCTTTACAGACTTACAGGCTGTTACTTGTGTCAGTGACAAACTGATAAACCTTCATGTATATTCTCTTCGAAATGCACTAATTAGATTTCTTTTTTTTCACTTTTTTTTTTGTAAAAATGCAGTATTTTTTATTAGACTATTTAAATGGTAAAATATGATATTATAAAATGCTTTTTTTGTTTAAAGATAGAGGCTTTATTTTGACATGTAATATGCTCACATATACATAGCATAAAATATTCTAAGGCCTGTCAAATTTAGTTGAAAAATCATCAAAATCATCAAAACTGCTGGTGGTGGCTGCCAACTTTTACATTTTAAAATGCTGGTAGAGAAAGAGTTAATTTGGAATTTAGTCACATCAGAAAAGATGGGAGAAGTGTAAAACATGACAGATTGTGCTTGTGCCTGTAAAGGCCAGTGGAAAAGCATGTGTGGTTCATGTTTAATTAAATCTCTTTGCTGAAGAACTGAGTTTTTACATTTTTTATTTGTTCCACTCCTTAAAAGCTTCGACTAAAACTGTAAATATCATATTTATAATTGTGACAGTCAAATGTCAGATAAGACTAAAATATAAAGCATTTCAAAAATGAACCATCAATGATTTGACTAAAATCAAGAAGTGTTGACATTGATAACCCCATATAAGCTGTTTCTGGCACTTCCAACACTGTGTTGATGGAAAGTGTGTTAGTGGATCATTGTTAACTGTACGAACTTTAAAAAACACTGCATTAAACTGTCACGTCCCACTCACTTATAGTGAGAAACTGAGGGTGATAATGTATTAGTTTCACATAACACTGGATGTATTTGGCGAACTCTTGAACTAAATTTGGGTTGAAGAGAGAACCCAGCCTTTTTTAAAGTGTACCATTTTATTATGGATATCATTACTATTTTAATAGCACAATGCAGCACGGTGGCGCAGTGGGACGGACAATCGCCTCACAGCAAAAAAGGTCACTGGTTCAAGCCTCGGCTGGCTCAGTTGGCATTTCAGTGTGGAGTTTGCATGTTTTCCTTGTGTTCACATGGGGTTCACTCTGGGTGCTCCGATTTTCCACACAAGTCCAAAAACATGTGGTATAGGTGAATTGGGTAAGCTAAATTGTCCCAGTTTTGTTTCCCAGTGATGGGTTGCAGCTGGAAGGGGATCCGCTGTGTAAAACATATGCTTGATAAATTGGCGGTTCATTCCGCTGTGGCCACCACTGATTAATAAAGGGACTAAGCCGTAAAGAAAATGAATTAATGAATAATAGCACAATGTTATGTATTTTTACAGACTTTTTTTTAGATATGCAGACATGAAATTAATATTAATAATAATACAAAATAAATATTAATAGTATTTAAAAATATTACAGCTTTTACTCTGTATTTTGATTAAATATAAGTAGCCTTAGTGAGCCTTTCTAAAAAAAAAAAAACTTTACAAAACATATGCTGGAATAGTTGGCGGTTTATTTTGCTGTGGCGACCTCCGAAATAGAGACCAAGCTGGAGGAAAATGAATGAATACTACTGACTCCAAACCTTTTGAACAGCATAAAACATTGAAACAGCACAAACTGTAAAATATGTCCAGAACAAATGTTGTCCGACAAGCCTTATTTACCATCACCGCACTAATGAGCCCTTACTTAAAAAGAACTAATCATTTTTCAACTTTTCTCATTCACAGTGTATCCAGCTGACCCTGACTACTATGGTCGACCCGCCGTTCAGGAGTTCCCTCAATTTGACATTGTGGAAAGCACCTACTCCAATACTTCCACCGAGTCGCGCAGAAACTCTCGCTTCGGAGGTTTTCCTTTCCCGTTGGACCGCGCCGACCGCCGAGCTCCATTACCCCCATGTTACAGCAATCAAAATCTCGATGACTTCTTAGGGCCTGACGGACTGCCGCTGCCTCGCTCTCAGTGCCCTAATGAGTACACTGCCATAAGCTACTACCCTACCCAGCACGCTCGAAGCCTGGACAACGTCTCCAGCGGCTATAAGAGACTCAGTGTGCGTCTGAGCGTAGCACAGCCTTCCTATGCGGACAGCACACGGCCTGGATCCACTAGAAGGACGTCTCGCAGTTATGCTGGCTCAGATAGGGTGGAGAGCGACTACGGCAGCTGCGAGGAGGTCATGTTTTAGCCAGACGAAAGAGGATCAAAGGTCCCATATGAGAGGGGTTACGGAGGGGAAGGTCATCGTACTTATAGTATATGAAGCTCAATGGCTGAAAGCCGCAGAAGCACTATCAGTATTATTAGTCACTTTCAGGGAAAAAGTATATATGGCTGTGTGGAATGCAAGTTTCCTTGCTGTTTCTTCCTTTTATGCGCCTGTAGAATTAATGCATGGCGGTAAAACAGTCTACAGTGTGGTAGTAAATGATGTTGTTGCTGTGTAGAGATCATGCGCCCTTGTTTGGTGTTGCGAGGTAACATTTTTGACAAGAAAAAACAACTGAATAAGGAAAATCTTACATAAGGATGAGTAAAGGGTTTGTTTATCACGAAAAAAAATAAGATTTTGTTGTCATTTAGTCACTTGCAGCATGTTTTAAATCATTAATGCCTTTGTTCATTTATCTGGAACACTTTTTTATCTATAAAAACAGATAATTCTATTTAAGGTAACCAGATGCAATCCCCCCCAACCCCCCCTCAGTGGCTGTTCTGTATTTTGAATGTGGTTTATTTCTTTTTTTGAGAGGATCACATGCTTATGATTGATCATGGTTGGTCCTGAGTTAGCTTCACATATTGCACCAATCAGATGAATACTATCTCACTATAAATACCCAGAGTTTTTTTTTAATTACAGTCATCTTTGTCTTGAAGAATCCCCCCTTCCACCCCTACTCCTCCCGTTTCCTGATTACCCTAATTAATTATTCTAATTAACCAAGTTAAGCCTTTAAATGTCACTTTAAGCTGTATAGAAGTGTCTTGAAAAACATCTATTCAAATATTATGTACTGTCATCATGGCAAAGATAAAATAAATCAGTTATTAGAAATGAGTTATTAAAACTATTATGATTAGAAATGTGTTGAAAAAAAAATCTTCTCTCCGTTAAACAGAAATTGGGGGAAAAATAATTCAGGGGCGAAAAATCTTGTCTTCAACTGTATGTGACTCTAGACCACAAAATCAGTCTGATGTTGTGTATATAGTTTGCTGTAACCACAAATATGGTGTAAATTTAAACTAGATCATTAACTAAAGATCATCTTCCATGAAGATATTTTGTACATTTTCACCTGTAAATATATAAAAACTACATCTTTGTTTTGCAATGTGCATTACTAAACACTTCATTTAGACAACTTTAAAGGCAACTCTCAGTACTTTGTTTTTTGTCAACCTCAGATTCCAGATTTTTTAAATTGTAGCTCAGCCAAAATATTGTTCTATCCTAACAAAGTATAATTCAATAAAGAGTTTATTTATTGTGAAAACATGACACCTGTGGTTGGTTTTGAGGTCCATGGTCACATACCTGTATTAAAATTTCTGTCATGCAAAAAATAACCTGTTCAGTGGTAGCCAGCAATCATGGTCACACTATTTCTGTTTTTCCTCTTTACCCCAAACTCTAATTTAGACATTCATAAAGAGATCAAAAAATAAATCCAAATCATATTCACACTGTTATATACAGTTTATGATGTACATGTTTAATTGAGGCTTTTGTTCACGTATAAACACTTAATTTTTGATCTCTTTAGAAACATTTTGAAGTGCTAGAGTTTTGTCTGAAGAGAAAAAAATCTTTTAAATTTGACTAAAAATACCCTAATTGGTGTTCATGAAGATGATAAAAGGCTAACAGGTTTGAAGCAACATCATGGTGATTAAATGATGACAACATCTTTTTTTTGGAGTGAACTAACTCAATAATTACTTTAGTTAACATTTACTACTATTATTAAATTCTGTGAGAAACATAATGTTAAACAAAGCAGTCACAACTTTATTTGTTTTGTGTTACCCTTAAAACTATATATCATTATTAGGACAACTGCTAAATGACTGATTGTATTGTTGCATGTTAATATTGCCAGCTGTGGGATGGATGGTAATTTCTGTAAACATAGCTGAGGTGTCGTTCTTCCAGCATACATATGATCACTGAAACTAATGTGCTATGAAATTTGAATGGTTTTCAAAAGTGCCATATGGTGTATCATATTTAGCGATGCAGGATATCTAGAAACACATTTCACTCCAACCAAACAGCAGTATAGAGAGCGTACATTGATCTGTACAGTCGACTGAAGCAGAGGCTGGTTCCCTGCTGGATTAAATTCAAGCACACAATGTGAAATCTAAAACATAGGTTTATGAAATATCACACACAGGTCAGCCGCCAGTTTGACGTGTCGTTGGTTGTTGGGTACATTTGCATACTTTTGTGCTGTTCTGTTAAGATGTGAACAAATCGCTGTGCTTGGTGAATTTTAAATGTGTCATTTTAAATGTGAACTTGCGCTGGCTTTAGCTTTTACTGCAGACGTTATGCAGTTTTAGATGTTTTCAGTGATCAAAGGCGATCAAAATCAAGCCATAAGAAATCCCTGTGCAGTTTTTACGGATCAATTATGCTTCTTGACAAACTGTCATAATGCTTACTAATCACGAAATAGATCAAAAATGCTGCCCAAGTATGAAAGAAATTGGACTGATTGAAGAATATTATATGTGTGTGTGTGTGTGTGTGCATCATAAACAACAGCTGCATTTTATATTCTTAGAGCGCTTCTGTCTTTGATCTGTATTCATAACAGTGAGGTTTCACTTTTTTATTTTATTATTATTTTTATTTTTTTATTTGAGAATTTATGAATAGGGATTTCTACAATCTTATTTGATGCAAAGTTGAGCTGAATGCGAGTGGATTTGGAGATTTGTTTAGCAGATTGATGCATGTGTCATCAGATTATATCGCATGTGCTCGATGAAAACTGAAACGCCCGTCCTTCATAGACTGCTACTTTGTTGTAGTGTTTAGTCTGTAGTGTTTCGAATGCCGTGATACAGTGTTGATGTACATATAAATGGCAGCTCTTGCAAGTATTGGTTTTGATCTGCAGGTTGTTTGTTCAGTGGGTGTGGTTAGTACGAATGTCAATTTTAATTTGAATCTTTTTTTGTATTATGAAATTTCAATTAATGATTCCTCTGTGAGAGAATCTTTGTCGTCTTTGTCATTTCCCTGTAGAAAATACTATGAAATAAGTTCTATTAAATAAAATTATGTTTAATATTTAGAATGTGTTGCATTTGAGTTAATTATGTATATGTTTGATTATTGTTTCAAAATTCATACTGTACATTTGGGGGTCAGATTTTTATTTAATTTTGAAAGAAATGATTTTCCTTTATTCCGTGTGAATAATCAAAAGTTATAGTAACCTATCAAACATACAGATTAACCTATAAAAACGTATGATCTTTCTAATTATGTTATGCTTCAGATCATGTGAATGGACTGAATGTTTGTACTTGTCTTTTTTAATGTTAGTTAATGAAAATAAAGTCGTTCATTGTTAGTATTTGTTAACTAACAGGGTATTTACTAATGTTAATAAGTACAAATTTAGATGGTAATAATGTGTTAGTATATGTTGAACTTACTTTACATTAACACACCAACTAATGGAACTGTTTTGTAAAAACATCTGACCCAGATATTAAAATAAAAACGGTGGTAATAATAATAATAATAATAAAAAGAAGAAGAAGAAGAAGGAGAAGAAGACAACTGTTATGATCACCATAATAGTGTTATGATCACCAATAATCACCAGCGTTGCCCTTGCAGGCTGCTGGAGAACACTCTAACTCAGGCTCATTATTGATATGTAGCCCTACTGTATATACATTTCTAGAGATGGCAAAGTACATCCCAGGCGGTACGTTTTCTTTTTGCAGTTTTGTTCTTGCAAATCCACCAGAGGGCGCTGTGTACTCTTTTCAGATCTCAAATTTATTCCTGCTGTTCTCCCATAAATCCACCAAAGGCTGCTGTCGACTCACTGAGGGACTGACTGACTGACCGACCCACCGAAACACCCACCCACCCCTTTACCAAACCCAACCATTAGTGTTTTCAAAAGCACGGATTGATTCGATCACCCCCTTTCCTAAACAAAAATCGACAGTGTTTTCAAAAGCAATCCAGAAAAAGAAAAGCATCGCCAGATTTTTTTTCATGTTTTCAGATCCTACCAACGTCTCACCCTGTTATTTACTTGTTTATCTTATTTTTTTGTCTTAACTGCTTTCTGGAACCGTCTTTGCCGGACTCAAACCCTATCGTTATAGTCAACTCCTCTCTGTGTCTCAAGTCAGCCAGTGTGCATGGCAAGCTACTGGGAAAACTGGTAACACCAGAAAAGTCGTCCACATGGAGTTAAGTGGTCAGCTAATACCACATTAGCAAAGAAACATCATACGTCATACCGCCCTGTATCATTCATTTCAAAGATGAAATGCATCCATACATAGCTCTGGCTACATAATTTGCACTTTCTAATAATTTATACAGGGGTATATTTTCACAATGAATCCAAAACTTCAAATCCAAACTTCAAATCTCATCCTGCATTTTAGTCACTCACCTGTTTCAGTTCAAGTTTTCAGTTTGATTACACACACATACAGCTAGAGCGAATCAGGACTGAATAATTGGACTATATCCACACCACTCGCACACACATTCATGCTGAGTGTTGTTTCCCTGTAGTTTTTCCTGGATTGTCTAGCTGAGTTTTGACCCTTGTTTTTGTTTGTTTTGCTGCATGACATGACCTTTTGCCTGTTTACCAATTACTCTTGTGGATTATCTTCACGTACACCATCTCTTATGAACCTTGCCTGCCTGATGATTCTTATAAATGCTGAATTTGGATCCAACTCTTGTCGCCACACCAAGTTATAACAGCACTAAAGCAAATTAAATGATTTCTGAACCATCATGTAAACCAGAAGACTGAAAGAATGACTGAAGAAATAAATTACTTATTTAATTAGTATATTAAAATAGAAAACAGTAACATTTTAAAATGTTTCACAATACTACTCATTTAAGTAAGCAAAATAGTGCAGATAATGTGCAAGGATCAAGATTTTAGGAGTGCAGATTTCTGTCATACTCTACTATATGTTGCATAATTTTAAAAAGCTGCATATTTAACTATGCTTTTTTTGTTGCTATTCCATTAATTAAGTATAATGTGGGTTTTCACCTTACTCCTTTCTGGGTCACGGCACCAGTGCAACCCTTCTGGTTCTATTCACCCCTACAAGTGGAATTAAGCCCAACAAATCTGGTATATGACATCATCTTCAAGTCAGGCAATGTACGTTTTTTTTCTGCAGCTGCTATTAGTAGCCGGTGCTTACATTTTTTATGCAAATTTCAAGGTTTTATGGGTATCCTGGCATTTCCATTCAGGGATTTTTATGTGATATCCCTAAATGCACATAAAAATGCATAGATGATAACATAATTGCGTCAGTTTTGCTACAGCACATGCGAATAGATGGCCCATGGCAGTTTTTCATTGGGTGAACAATTTCTTTACTATTTTTAAGAGTGCAATTCAGTTAAACACAGTTTGACATTGCAATTTGTGTCTAAACAGTAACATCTTACATGAAACATTTCCTGTGTTCATGTTCATGATGAGTTATGGCTCTCAGTGATTGCTGTGTATTAGTTGACACATATTTCCGAAACAGCCAGAGGTCATCAGCTGTGAGGTTACTTGAGAATCCTTCGCCTTTAGACATGAGATGTGTACATGGGAGTGCTCCTTTTTCTGTTGTGCATAAATCTTGGCAAATTGCTGAGTTAGAGTAATTGTGGTAAAGCCCCTGGCGGGCTGAGTCAGAGCCCTGATTCACAACCTTCCTCCATTGTTCTAATTGTTTTTATTTTTCGTCTGAAAGCAAACAAGTCTCTCATATCGTTTTCTAAATTCATTCCAAGACATCTGTAATGGCTGTATAGTGCACTTTTACTAGAGGAAAATAAATGCCAATTATTTATACAATGCAGTGTTGAAGTGTTCTGAGGGAAAAACAAATGTTTATACATAATAAGAATACAATTTTAATGAACTACCATTCAGTAGATCTCACTTATGCTCACCAAGGCTGCATTGATTATAAAATACAGTAATAACAGAAATATTGTAAAATAACAAACAAAAATGTCAATTTACATAACTGTTTTCTATTGTAATATACACTGTAAAAAATAGATTAGTTGACTTCACTTTAAAAGAAGCAAAAACATGTCACATTTGAAGTGATTAATTGACTTTTATGGTCAAGACGATCTGCTGCAGTTCAAACCGAGCATTAGAATGTGTAAGAAAGGTGATTTAAGTGACTTTGAAAGTGGCATGGTTGTTGTTGCCAGATGGGCTGGTCTGAGTATTTCAGAAACTGCTGATACTGTTATTTTCAAGCACAATCATCAAGGGTTTACAAAGAATGGTCTAAAAAAGAGAAAATATCCAGTGAGCCGCAGTTCTGTGGGTGCATATGCCTTATATATGCCAGAAGTCAGAGGTGAATGATAGAAAGGCAACAGTAACTCAAAGAATCATTCGTTAAAACTGAGGTATGCAGAAGAGCATCTCTGAACACACAACATGTTAAACCTTGAGGCAGATGGGCTACAGCAGCAGATGACCACACCGGATGCCACTCCTGTCAGCTAAGAACAGGAAACTAAGACTACAATTTTCACAAGCTAACCAAAATTGAACAATAGAAGATTGGAAAAAACATTGTCTGGACTGATGAGTCTTGATTTCTGCTGATACATTCAGATGATGGGATTGGAATTTGGCATCAACAACATGAAAACATGGATCCATCCTGTCTTATAGCTGCTGCTGGTGGTGTAATGATGTGGGGGATATTTTCTTGGTGCTCATTAGCACCAATTAAGCAACGTGTTAATGCCTCAGTCTACCTGAGTATTGTTGCTGACCATGTCCATCTCTTTATGCCCACAGTGTACCCATCTTCTGATGGCTACTTCCAGCAGGATATTGCACTATGTTCACTGCACTCAAATGGCCTCCACAGTCACAAGATCTCAATCAAATAGAGCATTTTTGCGAGGTGGTGGATTGGGAGATTTCCATCATGGATGTGCAGCCGACAAATCTGCAGCAACTTTGTGATGCTATCATGTCAATATAGATCAAAATCTCTGAGGAACATATCCAGTACCTTGTTTAATGTATCTATCTACTTTGGATGAGGTTAATCGCAATTAATTTTTGCCCACCACTATTTTTTTTTTTAAACGTATTCATGATCAGAAGTCCTGAAAACATTATCAGCAGCTGTGCAGCTGTTGGCACACAAAACTGAGCAAGAGACTCTGTATGATTTGGCCATGCTCATCAACATAAAAGGGTCACCTCATACAAACATTTGTTGTTTTTTTGTTGTTTCTATTGCACTCGGCTCTGGCCCAAACCTCTATAATCAGCGCTGCCACTGAGCATTATTCAGATGCCAGTCAAGATCCATTAAAAATAAACACCATTCATCTCGCACATACTGTTAGGAAGCAGCACGAGTTGTAATTTTAAGCTCTACAAGTGAATCTCCCCGCGACACTCTCGCATAGCATGATAAACAGTCTTGCGGGTGCATTCGCCCACATCTGGATTGTTAAAGCGCATCACACACTGCTTTGCATTCATCATCATACTTTGCAAACAAAAAAGTCTGGTTATTAATGTGACCCCCAGTCGTTTCTGGGTCAACAGATGGAGGGCAGCAGTGCTTTGTGTACTCAGATTAGTGCTTTTATAGTGTTTTTGGAAAAGAGGGGAGATGAGAAGCCATCGACTGTTGGAGAAAAATACAGTGAACATCCTACACCCAAAGCTCACGTGCAAATACAAGAGTTGAAAAAAAAACAAGGTTGTCAAAGAGGAAAATCATACAGATTTCTCGTTGTTAATAAATTAGTTTGTTTGGAAACTGATAGATGATCATTCTTTCATGATTCTTTCATGACATGTTGCATTACAGCAGAAGTAGTAGTAAGTAGAGTAGTAGTAAGTGTGTACTGCATGTGTACTACTAAATGCCTTGATGCTAGTATTCTGTCATATACTTTTCAATAAACCACTCGAGAATGACAAGATAAAGGATAAAATATTTATGGACCTGGCAGACTGACAGATGATGAGGCAGTGGAATAAATCAAGAGAAAATGTACCATTACTGACAG